CACTTCAAGGCTCCTATCTCGGTCGTTTTCCGCTCGTTTCGGCTGATTTTTGGACGAGCGATCAGCTCTCGGAGCGCTCTCGAAGCGTGGGTGTTGTTTCCGAAACGCGCGCGCGCGGAACACTCACGTTGAAGCGACGTTGAACCACCCTTTTGCTGCCCCGGAACTCGCCCACGCACTTGTGGCAGTGGCCCAGGTTGTTGAAGGACGTCGCCACGGGCCGCGAGATCTTGCCCGCGCACTCCTCGCGCGTCTTCAGCGCCTTCTTGTAGAGCGCCTTGGCCTCGTCGAAGCGGTGCAGGTTCCGGAGCACGGCCGCGAGCACCGTCGTCGCCGCCGCGACCTCGAGGTGGACCTCGCCGTAGTGCTTCGCCCTGAGGCGCAGGGCGAGGCGGTAGAGGGGCACGGCGGCCTGGAAGTCGTTCATCTGGCGGTACATGGTCGCCAGGTTCGTCAGCGCGGTCGCGAAGAGCGGGTGCTCGGACCCGAGGCGCTTCGCGTAGATGTCCATGGCCCGCTCGTACAACGGCTTCGCCTCGGCCCACTTCTTCTGCGCCGCGAGGAGCGCCGCCATGTTGTTCACGAGCGTCGCCACGTCCGGGTGCTCCGGGCCGAGCTGGCGCTCGCGGATGCCGAGCGCGCGCTCGTACTGCGCCATCGCCTCGCCGTACCTGTGTGCAAATCAAATCTTCAACCCGACTTCAATGTGCGCGTATTCGAATGTTTTGACACAAGCTCTTCGGCCGGGCTTCGAGAACTCGACGAGAGCGATCGATCCGTCCAAAAATCAGCCGAATCGACTTCGATTTGACCGAGCTAGAGAATTCTCAAGTTTGGTCAGGACCACCCAAACCAGTGGTTGGTTTCCACACGGACACGTACTGCCGCGTCTGGTAGAGGAGGCTCGCGAGGTTGTTCAGCGCCGTCGCCACGTCCGGGTGCTTCTCGCCCATGCGCCGCTCCGTGATGTGGAGCGCCCGGCGGTAGAGCGGGTCCGCGTGCTCGTAGCGGCCCTGCGCGTAGTGCAGGTTCGCCTGCGTGTTGAGGAGCTTGGCCACGTCCGGGTGGTCGGGCCCGAGCTGGGCCTCGCGGATCTCCAGCGCGCGCCGGCTCGGGCCCACGGCGTCCTCGAAGTTGCCCTGGCGCTCGAGGCACAGGGACATGTAGGACAACAGCGGGCCGAGCTCCGGGTCGTTGTGCGAGAGCCGCTCCTCCTTGAGCCGCATGGAGTCGCGGAAGATGGGCTCGGCCTCCTTGTATTTTTCTTGAGCATAAAGCACCATGGCGAGGCCCTCCATGGCCCGCGCGTGGTCGATGGACCCGGCGCCGAAGGTCTGGATCGTCAGGTCCACAATCCTCCCCTGGACCATCTCCGCGAGCTCGAACTCGCCGATGGCGCGCATGAGGTGGTTGAAGGTCGTCAGCCGCTCGAGGGCGCCCTCGTGGTCCTCGAGCCACTTCATGGCCACGCTCTCCATGGTCGAGATCTCCGACGTCGGGATCTGCATGAGCACGGACGCGCGCCGCCGCTCGTCGTCCGCGCCCTCGCCCCCCAATAAGAACGACCGGAAGAAGTCGTAGACCTTGCAGGCGTCGTGCTCGTCCGACAAGTTCAGCATGACCTTGTGGTGGATGACGACCTCGCAGGTGTGGGGGATCTTCGCGCCGTCCGCGGCCGCGAGGTCCGTCGTGACCTTGACGTTGACCTTGAGGTCGCGGTAGCCCGTGATCGTCGGCCTTTTGACGCGGTTCACGACGCGGCAGATAGCTAAAGCCGGCGACTCCACCAACGCTTTGTAGACGTCGTACATGACCGCCTCGTCGACGCAGACGACCTGGCCCCGGACGACGTCCACGACGAACGCCGCGGCGTCGCTCGTCTTGTGCGTCCGCTCGTGCCGCTCCTTGATCTTCTCCCGCGTGCGCAGCTGGTCCTTGAGGTCCGCCGTCTCGAAGGTCGCGCCGGCGATGGACGCGCACAAACCGCCCAGCGCCGCGTCGAAGGTTTGTCGGGCGGCCCGCGCGACGTCGTACATCGACGCGACCTCCGTCGCCGGCGCGCCCGACGGCCCGACGTTGACGTAGTCCCGGTCGCCGAAGCCGCCGAAGCCGTCGGCGATGCACTCGACGACGCCGCCGGCCTCGAAGCACTCGTCGTGCGTGTCCTGGAACACGCCCCGCACCTTCTGGAAGTTCTGCACGTTGTCGTGGAAGACCAGCGCTTTCCCGAAGAGGCCGCCGGCCTTGGCCTTGCGGAACGTGCGCCAGCCCGCGGACTTGCCCTTGCGCTGGAACTGGGCCTTGACGCTGCCCTCGCTGACCCCGAGCTTCGCCGCGGCCCAGCCCTTGCCGCTGCCCGACATGCCCGCGACGGAGAGGCGATTCGCGGCGTCGGCCAGGCCCCGCGGCCCGACCTTGGGCGACGCCTCCTCGGCGTGCTCGTCGATGCCGCGGCTCAGCAGCGTGCCCTGGGCCAGGAGGGCGTGCATGGACGCCGCCGGCTGCGCCTCCTCGCTCCCGAGGAGCGGGATGCCGTCGCCGCCCGCGTCCGGGGGCAGCTCCTTCGTGTCGCCCTCCAGCTCCTCGATGTCCCGGTCGAGCTCGCTCGGCTCGTACCTAGCACGTCACGCACGCGTGTGTCTTCCGGGCGCGCGACGCGGCGGGGGGGGGCTGGGGTCGCGCCGCGCGCGGCGGGCCGCGGCAGGAACGCACCGCTTCGAGGCGCTCGCGGTCAGGCTCTTCCCGGAGCCATTACTCTCCTTCGGCGCGTTCTTCCGCCGGCTGTTCCGCGACGCCGCCGCCGCCGCGGGCATGGTCGCCCCCGGAGGGAGCCCGGCCGGCTTACAATGCCGCCGCTCTCCAAACCCCGCCGCTCAGCGGCCTGCGCGAGAGGGCAGGGAGTATCCTTGCTTCGACGGTGCATATAAATTTACGCGATGCAAGGTGCAGGCATCGATCACTTGGGTAAATCGCTTTGTGGCGATGGGGCTCGACCTCCTGCCCACGCACGTCTTCACGTCGCTGCCGCAGCCGCAGCTCATCGGCATCGCCGCCGGCTGCAGCGTCTTCGTCGCGACGATCCTCACGGTCGGCGTCCTCCTCGTGCAGGGCGGGTCCATCGAGCGCCTCAGGAAGGAGCTCGCCGGCGAGGCGCCGCCGCCGCCGCCGACGCGGACGCAGCCGCGTCGACGAGCTGCTCGCGGCGGCCGCGTCGCTGCACGCGGCGCCGGCGCTGGGCGCCGCGGCCGTCGCCGCCGCGCGCGACGGCGGCGCGCGGCGCGTCGCCGTCGACGTCCGCCGCGCGACGGCTGGCGATGACGCGGCGCTCGCGCTCGCCGCCGACGGCGCCGCGCGCTACGGCCACGGGCCCTACCGCGCCGGCGACGTCTGGTTCGACGGCGCGCCGGACCCCGGCGCGTGGCGCGCGTCCGCGGGCGCGGACGGCGAGGCGCTGACGATCGGCGACGTCGTCGGCGGCGCGCGCCGCGTCGTCGGCGCGCTGCGGCTCCTGCGGAACCGGCCCCGGGACCTCGTCGTCGGCATCGCCCTCGACTGGCTCCACCCGGCCTACGCGCCGGGCGGCGAGGACGCGCCCATGACCGCGGACCTGGCCCTGTACGCGGCCGTCGACGCGCTCTTCGCCGCGGGCTACCGCCGCGTGGACTGCCTGCTGCCGGCGCAGGACCTCGGCCGGCGGCGCGTCTTCGAGCGCTGCGGCTTCGCCCTCGAGGGCGTCCTGAAGAAGTACTGGGTCGCCGACGAGCGGAGCCGCGACGCGGCCGCCTACGCGCTCCTCAACACGGACTGGACGGGCGGGCTCAAGCGCCGCCGCGCCGGCGCGCTCGGCGTGGATCCGCCGCCGAAGCCGCCCACGTAAAATTAGGGCTTACCCTGCCCCCGCAGCGCGCGCGCGGCCGGGTCGAGGCCGTAGGTCCAGAGCTGGTTGACGTTGTAGCCCCGGGACCTGACCGCGTGCTCGTCGTGGTCAAACTCCGCCCAGGTCGCCAGCGGGAAGCGCGCCGCGAGGACGACGGCGTCGACGTCCAGGTCGCGGGCGAACTTGGCCTCGAGGTCGGCCATCATCGCGGGCACGACGAAGAGCGCGACGCCGTCCGCTCCCGTCAAATCGGCGTCGAACATGTCGCCGCGGTGGAACGTGCACAGGTGGTGCACGCCCGCGGCGCGCGCCCGGAGCCGCGAGTACCAGACGAGCCAGGGGTTGAGCTCGTGGCCCACGGTCACGATGCCGAGCCGCCTGCTGAGCTCGACGCAGACGACGCCGTCGCCGCTGCCGAGGTCGACGACCCTCCGCAGGTTCCGTCGCCGCGCGGCGGCGGTCAGCAGCTCCATCTGCTCCGCGTTCGCCGCCACGTAGGGCAGGCAGTGCTTGCGCAGCGCCGGCAGCAGAAATGGCAGCGCCACGGCGTGCAGCGCCGCGACGCCGAGGCCGCCGACGACGAGGAAGCTGGAGCCGGCTCCGGAGGCGTCCGCGTCGGCGGACGCGCCGCTCGCGGGCGGCGCCGGGTCGCTGGATGCGCTCGCCATCGCGGCGCGGTCTTTGAGAGTTGCGGTGGCGACGTTTGGCCGCACGCTATGTGCTGCTCGAAAGCGTCGCCATCGTCTTGCCGTCGGGGGGAGGCGACGATCGACGTCGACGGAGCAGCCGATGGAGCATCGTTGAACGTATGGCTCGTATGTTGGGTACTTTTTAGCAATCTGACTCGAGTTTGAGCGCAAGAACGCAACGCAACACTACCGCACAGAGCCCACCGATGGCTGCGCGGAGCCCGCACATGTCGCCGTCTCTTTTCGAGGGCGGCCTGCTGTCGCCGGCGGAGCCGCCGCCGCGCACGGCGTCGGAGCCGAGCACGAGCCGGAGCAAGGCCGGCGCGCGGCGCACGCCGAAGGACTACGAGCCCTGGAGTTCGCCCGAGGAGGCGCGGCCGCGCCGCGGCCGCTGGGAGCGGAGCCGGTCGCCGCGGCGCGACGACGACGACGACGAGGAGCTCGGCCTGTCTCTCCCCGGCGTGTCGACGGTGAACCTCCAGCGCCAGCGGCCCTGCAGCGTCCTCGAGATCCGCGCCGACGGGTCCCAGACGATCATGGCCATGCGCATGCGCGAGGTCATGCAGCGCATCCAGGAGGTCGTCGCCGTGCCCGCCGCCGTCGCCGCCAAGGCCAAGCCCCGGAGCCGGTCGCGGAGCGAGACGACCGCGCGCCGCGCGCACAACGCGCTCCACCCGCGCGACCTGCGGTCCATCGACAACTCGCACCCGCGCAACTGCAAGAACCCGGCCATCGTCGTCCGCCAGCACGTCATCGTCGCCAACTTCGACCCGCTCCGCGTCGTCGTCGTCCACGACCGCATGCTCGTGCTCCTCCCCCACGACGACGACGACCTGAGCGACGAGCTCTGCCACCAGCTGACGACGCAGACGACGCTCCGCAGCTCCGGCGCGTCCGAGGACGCGCTCCAGGCGCTGGCCAAGGACGACGCGTCCGGCGCGGAGAGCGGCGCGTCGCGCGACCCGTCCCCCGGCAGCCTGCCCAAGACAACCTCGAACGCGTCGCTCACGGAGCTGGAGGAGGACACCGCCGCGGAGGCGCAGCCCTTCGAGCTCCGCGCGCTCGAGGCGGTCCTCGACGTCTGCACGCGGCGCCTCGACGACGCGTGCGACCGCCTCGACGGGCCGGCGGCGCAGTCCATGGAGAAGATGTCGAAGAGCTCGCGCATGACGCTCAAGCACCTCGAGCGGCTCCGCCACATCAAGAACGAGGTGTCGAATCTGGAGGCGCGCGCGCGCGACACCGCCGAGGCCATCGAGGCGACGCTCGACGAGGACGAGGACATGTGCATGATGCGGCTGAGCCTGCTGCGGGAGCGGCCGACGATCTTCGACCCGCCCATCTCCGCGGAGCTGCTGACGCAGCACGAGGACGTCGAGCTGCTGCTCGAGAGCTACCTCCAGGACGCGGAGGCCGTGCAGACGCGGCTCGAGCTGCTGCGCCTGAGCATCGACAACGCGGAGGACCTCTTCACGATGAAGCTGGACATCGCGCGGAACCGCCTCATCACCGCGGACACGATCTTCACGCTGCTGGGCATGGTCGCGGCGTCCGGCGCGCTCGTCGCGGGCCTCTTCGGCATGAACCTGGCCCAGGAGAAGGCGTCGTTCCTGCTCGTGTCCGTGGCGACGGGCGTCGTCTGCGTCGTCGCGACGGGCGCCATCGTCGTCTACCTCCTCCGGTCGAAGACGCTCGTCTTCTAAGCGCGGTCCTTCTCGGCTTAGGTCGAAGGGGGGACGCGCGCGGGGCTCAGATGCGCGTGATCTCGACGCGGGACCGCGCGGGGAGGTCCGCGGCGACGGCGTCGCCGTCGAGCGCGGCGTGCGGGTGGACGGCGAGCTGGGCGAAGGTGCCGCCGCCCGCGTTCTTCGCGAGGTGGCCGGGATTGAGCACGAGCGTGCCACCGACGTCGCGCGCGAAGGGCGCGAGGCGGCTCGGCGCGATGAGGAGGTCCGGCGCGACGGGGAGGCGCCACTTGGCGTGCTGGCGCAGGTCCACGGGCGCCTCGGCGACCGTCGACGCCATGGCCGGCGCGGGGAAGAGCGGGTAGAAGGACCGCTGCGACACGAGGTGGCTCGCGAGGCGCGCGACGCGCGGGAGCGCCGCGACCTCGGCGCCGTCGCGCTTGTTCTCGAAGATCTCCTGGGACGAGAGCTGGAAGAGCACGTCCGTCGCCGTGACCGCGACGATCGCGCCGTCGACGGCGAACAAGCCCGGGTTGCCCACGAGGTGCACGCGGTCGCTCTTGGGCAGTTCCAAACTCCCCAACGGAAACTCGTCCTGCCACGACGGCTTGTCGCCGGCCTCGTCGGCACCGGCGCCCAGGGGCGGCTGCGGGTAGACGGGCTCGCTCACGAGGTCGCGGGTCGACGGCGCGAGCACGAACTGCGCGTGGCAGTCGGACGACTCGAGGAGGCGGTCGAGCTCCCAGGCGACCTTGAGCACGAAGAGCGTCGCCGCGTCCACGGGCTCGTCGCCGTCGGCGTCGAGCTGCGCGCGCTTCGCGGCGGGATGGTCCGCGTCGACGAAGGGCCCCAGGAGCACGACGACGTCGGGCTTCGCCGCCTTCGCCGCCGCGAGCAAATCGAGGAGCGGCTGGTACTCGAGGTCGTCGGACGTCGTGAAGGGCCCCGCGGCGACCCAGATCGACGCCGGCGGCTGGTCCGGCGCCGCGCGGCCGGGCACGTCCTCCTTGTTCACGGCCGCTTTCGGCGGCGGCGCGCCGAGCGTGAGCGCGCGCGCGACGATGGTGCCGTCGTCGTGGGGCGCGCAGCCGTCGACGCCGATGACCTGGCCCGGGAAGAGCGCGTAGGAGCTCTCGACGGCGCTCAGGTCCAGCTTGGCGCGGTAGCCGCCGTCGCGGCGGTCGCCCTCGAGCGCGACGGACGCCTTGTTGAGCTTGCCGTCGAGCGCGTCGAGGCAGACGCGGCCGAGGAAGAAGGACGGGTTCGGCGCGACGGCGCCCACGGGCGTCGCCTCGGCGTCGGGCTCGCGCAGCTTGCGCGCGGCGAGCATCGCGTCGCCGACGTGGCGCGCGGACGCGTCGAGCGCCGCGGACCGCTCGCCGGGCGGCGTGAACATGTGGCGGTACTTGGTCGCCGCGCCGACGGCGGGCCGGGACGGGTCGTCGCCGGGGGGCGCGCGCGTCAGCGCGGCGACGTCGCCGGCCGTGAGCGCCTTGACGACGCACGGCGCGGCCCGGGCGGCGACGTCGGCCCAGGGCTCGCGGCGCGCGAGGTGCTTGTTCTGGACCTCGACGAGCGTGCCGCCGTTGCTGCGGTCCTTGTACTTGGTCGCCGTCGACGGCGGGGGCGCGCCGCCGGGCGTCGTCGGCGCCTCCTCGCTCGGCGTCGTCGCGAAGGACACCTTCTTCTTCGCGCCGGGCGTCTTCGCGTCCTCGAGCTCGCGCTTCACGCCCGTGATGGGCTGGGACGTCGTCGCGAACATGGGTGCAGCGTTGGGTGCAGCGATGCGGTCGAACTGGTCGAGTCGAGGAGCCAGACGAGGCGAACCGGCGCGGTCGTCGGAGCGCTCGTTTTGAATGGCGGGACAGCTTGAAGTTTGAAGGCCTCGTTGAAGGACATGGAGAAGTCGATGGGTGCACGGCTTGTGTTCGTACGTAGTACTACGACTCCAGTCGCCAGTCTGAAGAGGCAGCACTGCGCCGAGTCGAAAATCGGAGGTAGCCAGCGTTCCGAATCGCCGCGCGGTTCGCGGCAAGGCACGCGCACTGTGACGCACACAGCTGCGGCACTTCCTGCTCGCGGCCGGCCACGACCAAGACCAAAAGAACAACCTGCGCGCGTTTCCGAGCGGGAGGAGACGCGTCCCGACTAAGTCCCGACGGCGTCGCGTTCGATTCTGGCGCACTGCAGCGCGCGACTCGAGGTTGTTGGACTAGTGATTGAAGGGGGTGCGCACCCGAAGATCCCGCCCGGTTGTTGCCCTTCTCGCGCTCGAGATGGTGCTCGCCGCCGAACGAATCCTGCTCGCGCTGCTCTGCGCGAGCGCCGCCGAGGCCCGCCGGCCCGCGCCGCTCGCGCTCGAGAAGCACCTCGCGCTCGACAAGCTGCTCCGCGGCGGCGAGTCGGCGCGGCCGTCGAGCGCCGAGGCGCTCAAGGTCCTCGCCGACGACGCGCAGCGGTGCGGCGACCTGGAGACGGCGGCGACGTGCTACGTCGAGGCCCTCGACGCCGTCGACGCGGCGGCGCCGGACCAGGCGCTCGTCGCGGCGTCCATCCGCCTCAACCTCGCGCGCTGCCGGCTCAAGCGACACGAGTTCGAGGACGCGATCGCCTGCTGCGACGCCGTGCTGGAGACGGCGGGCCCGCGGTCGCCGCTCCGGGCCGTGGCGCTCTACCGGCGCGCCGCGGGCCACGACGGCCTCGGCGACGGCGAATCCGCCTACGTCGACGCGGCCGCGGCGGCGCAGCTCGGCAACGCGAAAGCGGCGGAGCTGGCGGAGAAGCACAAGGCGCTCGCGCCGAAGATCGCGACGCCCCTCGGCGGGCTCGGCGGTTTCGGCGGCCTTCCCATGGGCGGTCCCATGGGCGGTTTCGGCGGCGGCGCGGGCGGCGTGGGCAAGCAGCTCGCCAAGCTCTTCGACGACCCCAAAAAGGCGCGGCAGCTCGTGCCCCTCGTGCGGAGCCTCGGCACCGCCCAAACCCTCGAGAAGGCGCTGGGCCTGCCCCGGGCGCGCGCCGAGAAGCTCGCGTCGGCGCTGCAGAGCCTCGACGAGGACGGCGCGGAGAAGTGGGCGCGGCGCGCGAAGACGGCCATCGGCGTCTACAAGCGGTCCGCGGCGACGCTCAAATTCGCGCGCGCCGCGTTCCCCAAGGCGCTCTACGCGTGCGTCCTCTTTTGGCTCCTCAACGACTCGAGGAAGCTCCTCC